CCCAGAAACCTCTCTGCTTCAGCTGTTGAACGACACCCTGCCACTTGAGCTTCCTGCTCCGCCAAATCCAACACAGTGAGCCACATCCAAACAACCAACCACACAGTTTGAGAGTAGCAATGTCCTTACCTTGAGATCTTTGAGCCGTTTCACCATGCGGTACTCGCTCACAACACTACGGAGTAGCTCATCATGCTCCTCTTTTGAATGAAAACGCATGAAAACGTCCAATCGCCGACACTGCACTTTCTCCTCCTGAGACAGGTCCTTCTCAAAGGGATTTGGGTATAACAGGTTTCTTTCTAGTATGAATTCCTTTCTACGTTTCCTCTCATCAAGCCTGCAAACATCACATTCACCTGCATCAGCATGGGCGGTAAAAGAAGAGAAGTCTTTCTCCTTGTGATCTTAGCATCTGTACCTTTTCGAGTAGATACGCAACACACGCAGTTTCAGCTCATGTTCTTCAGGAGTATCGTTCTCTTTGAACTCCATCTCAGCCAAGAGCTGCTCAGCATCATTGTCATATTCCGGGTCAAACTCTTGTCTTTTGTGGTTGTAATTACTCAATTCAACCAAAGAATTGTTTCCCGGAGCGACAGGTTTCTTTACTCCAAAACTCCTGTCCGTGTGAGACTCTGACCAAAAACACATCAAAACATAGAAAAAAGGAGAAAATATCTAACTCGTCAGTATAAACACAATGAATTAGCCTTTTACTTACAAGACGAATAGTGTTCGGATGGTGATATAGATATATTTACTAGTGTAAGCTAGACCAAGTAAATTACACAACGAGATGCACACTTATAATTACACAAGTAAAAGCACACGTATATTCAAACCAGATATAACATTGTACCAAGAAAAGGAGTCACCTTTTTGTGTGTCTTCAACTCTGCAAGAAAATTGGATAAGAAATGAGAAAACAAACATAAGGTATCAATGTACAGTGTATGGGAAGAAGGAGAGACATACTTGACTTTAGGAGGAGAGAACGGGTACTCTTCTTTCATGTTCTGCTCTGCTGCCAAAGAAGAAGCCACATCAATTTCACAATTAAGGTAGCAACACGAACAATGAAGAATCACACAGCCATCAAGCAAAGTAGCGCATACCTTTCTTTTCTTCAATGCGTCCTTTTGCCATGGCTTGAAGTTCTTTTCGGTTCTTCCCTGCTACGTGTGACATATCCTAGGAAATAAAAGGTTGCCCTTAGATTAATACATTAGTAAAGGCTAGCACTAGTGTTGCAGATACATGTTATGAGATGGATATAGCATACTGGAAGTGGGAAAAATGGGGAGTTCAAATAAATGTTTCTGTAGTGGTCGAGACACTGTTCTTTACTCTTTGTTCCCACATGCTCCGCGACCTCTGCCCAGTTTCCCAAGCCATAAATTTCAAGTCCCTGAATTGAGAGAGATGAAACGAAATTACAATTCTTTTCTAAAAAGAAACAGAAACAGAAAATAATGGGCACATTTTATTAGTAAGAAGAAGGAGGTTGTGGTACCTCCAGGAGAAGCATTTCATCATCGGCACTCCAGTCGGGACAAATCAGCGGGAAGGTTAGATTTCCCTGACAAAGCAAAAGCAAAAAAATTAAGCTTTGATGGAGTCTCAAGCAGAAGGTATAAACAGAAAAAAGCTTCTCTTTTTCAGTGAATCAAAGTCTTTGGAAACTAACCATAACTCGGTAAGGGTGATCAGATTTGTGAGGAGTGATCTCAGCTCCAACAGACATACATTCTACACAGAGATCAAAATCGGGACAGACAGCACATTTAATCCTAATCTTGCCAGTAATGTCTTTCTGGCAGTAATCGCAGTTGTATTTGCCTCCTCCCTCTGCACCTGTAACTGTCTCCACAAGAAGAAGAAAAAAGAGTGTTTTTGAGTAAAAGAAGAACCTTTGAGAGGAGAAGGAATGAGCAATTGCTATTCCCATCAATGGGTTGCTATTCGAATTATACCCATAGATGTAGACTCAAAGTTCTCCACATTAGCCGCATTTTTCTTTTTCCTCGTTCTGCAAAAAAAGGACAATTACAAGACAAGTGTTGAAGATTGATATTCTAGAGCAACAAATTCGAAGCAATTTCAAAGAAAATGGGCAATAAAGAAGAAATCAGGAGCAAACCTCTGGGTAGGGTCTTCGAAGTTGTTGAAGTTCCCTCGAGAGCGACCCATTGATGGTGAAGCAGCAAAATCGGATTGGAAACCCTAGCGTCTAGCTAACATGGATAGACTCGACTCACCCAACAAGGTCGACTTCAATTGAACGGTTTCGCCTCGGATCCAATCGGAATTCAACAACTTGTCTGGTCGGATCTGTAAATAAATTCTCGACGGACGGTGGCCTGAGAAAAAGAAAAGAAAATAGGGAAGTCGATGATGACTAATGAATATCTAAGGTTACTC